GTGCATCATTATTTAAAAAAAAAATCTCAAACATGTCCTTTTTTTATTCTTTTAGTTCCATGCAATGGATACCCTCCAGAGGAACGGTTATGATCTCGCTCGTGCCATGTCTACACTTGTCCCTCAGGGTGGTCCAGTTCTGTGCAGGGATGAAATGGAAGAGTGGTCTGCATCAGAGGCTATGTTATTTGAGGAGGCATTGGAGAAATATGGAAAGGATTTTAATGACATCCGACAAGACTTTGTAAGTCAGATAATAATTTGTTTTTGTGAAGAAATACACGCAGCTTTCAAATAACCTTTCATTTTAGTCTTTTTCTTTTGAAAAAAGTGGCTTTTTTTGTGTGTTTTTTTTTTTTTTACCATTACAATCATAATGAACAGCACCATGTTTATACTCCCATCATGCAGGAATAGACCTGGGGTGTCACAATCACCGTAGCCCTGCTTTTTCATATAATTATTTTATGCGACACATTTAAAAAGCATTGTGTTTTCTGCTTCACTCTTCAGCAGGCAAAGCTCCATCAACTTAAAAAAAGAACTCCAGGAAAACTATTTATTAACCCTTGCAGTGGGGATACCCTCGCACTGCAAGGGTAAAGTTCTTGTCTGTGTCTACGTGCTAAAATAACAAAGATATACTCGCCCAGAGCTCCGAGCCGGCCAGCTGCCACAGCGCTCCCTCCTGCCACAGCGCTACCTCCTGCCTGTCTCCTTCTGCACAGCAGCTTTGCAGTCTTCCTCAGCGTTCTCACGTCCTATACACTGTGTATAGACATTGATTTATGGGACCTTGGACCGCTACAGAGGAGGGGGGTAGAGGTTGGAAGCACTGGTCTAAGAAGGAGCTTCGGGTGAGTATACCCTTTTTTTTTTTTTTTCCACCTAGACACAAACAAGCAGTTAACCCTTGCAGTGTAGGGGTAGCCCCACTGCAAGGAATAATTGATTTAAAAAAAAACAAACTCCTGTAGCTCTTTAACCTCCTCCCGGTCGTAAAAATGTGGCCGGCCAGGAGTTTCATAGATATGAGCGGGCATATTTAAACGTCCCGCGAGCGAGGACCTGCCCAAATTTAAAAACGGGCAGGGGATCCGTATAAAGCCGGCGGATCGCTTGTATAAGGTGCCGGTCCGTGGCCCCCTGTCCCGCTGGTCGCGGGCTCCACTGTGCCCGGTGCGAGCCCGGGACCAGCATGGTGGCTCTGTGACAGGGGTTCAGAGGGAGATCGGTACACGATTTTCCTCCAGTCCCCTCTCCGGTGTCAGAATGCGGAAGTCATGTATATTACATGACTTCCGCATTCTTGTGTCACTCTCCAGCTTCAGATGCTGGAGAGAAGCTGATGAAGCAGATCTCTGCTTAATCAGCTTCTTTGGGGGTCCTTAAGTGACATTAGGGGTCTTGGAGACCCCTGATGTCTCCATTAAGAGGACCTATCGCAAATCTTTGCTATCACATAGGGGGTTTTCTTAGCCCCCTGTGTGATAGCAATAAAGTTAAGTGTAAAAAAAAAGTTGCAAAAGAAAGTCACATGGAAAAGAATTTAAACAAAAAACCCCCACAAAAATCTTTTTAAAAGTCCCCACCCATACATACACGCAAAAACGAAGATTGCGCCCATTACGCCACACATGTTACATATCACCACGAACGTCGCAGTGTGAGCAATAAGTTTAGGGCCATCAATCAACTGTTAACACAAAACTGAAGGGGGTGTAAACACCTCGGTCATTAGGTGGTTAAACGATTGGGAGAAAAATAAAAGGTTGTGTTATGCAGAGATCATTCCAAAGGACACCACCAGCTCCGCACTGTGTACTTCTGCATTTTATACATGAAATCTAAAATGCAGAACACAGTGCAGAATAAGCACCTCGGTGTCCTGGGGATTGCTGCACTCGCTCTCCGGGATCAATTGCCAGCTGAACAACATATTGTCTTTAAAGTTGCAGCAACAACATAAAAATTATTTAAAAAGAAAAGCCCTGTGCATTGTTTCAGAGCAGTTTAATGGGACTATGTTGCCATTTCCGTTATTTTAGATATGTAAAAGAGGTCAGCTTGATGTAATGGTTTAAAAACCTTGTTTTGATGTATATGTACATGTGGGCAGCCATATTTGCTCATTTGCATATGTAGTCTCACTTCTGCAAAGCTATAGTGGTTCTCCGAATCTGTCTCTCCCTGTGAAGCTATTGTCTTAGTATGTGTGAAGGAGGCAAACCAAAGAATCAAATGAAGAGCTCCTTGTTGTTCTACAAATCTAAAAATATAAAAGAGCAAGCAATACATGTGAAACTCGCAACAATTTATTTTAGCTAAGCACTGCAGTAATTCAAATATATTTTCACTAGAAATATACCATACTTTCTTTTTTAACATGCACTTGCATGTACACTGTGATTGGGCTACTCATTAAGGTGCCCATACACTGCACGATACTCGTACGAGAATCGCGGGAAATCCCGCGATCGTACGAGATACATGCAGTGTGAATGAAGACGTGTGATCGTTTCTACTGTGCGGTCGTACGTCTTTTGTCTGAGGAGCATGCTAGAAAACCAGGCTGGTTTTTACCATTTTTGGGAGACAAGTGCCGCACAGGCCGGTGTGTGCACGTGCACACTGCCCGTTCAGCATTGCGGTCATCGGAAGCCCGCCCTTCAGGGGTGCGGGCTTGCGATGATCGCAAGTACGATCTGCCTGTCCAAGATGGGCAGATCGTACATTTTTTTTATTACTTTACAACCATCGCAAGACTAAGGTCTTGCGATGGTTGTAAAGTGTATGGCCACCTTTACCTTCGTGGCTAATAAGACCACTCCTCCTTGAAAGTCACACCTGTCCCACTCTGTCAGATTCTGTAACTGATGTATATATTTAGCGTGTGATTAGTGTGGTATTTGAGGGAGGTGTGTTTCTCTCCCGTTCATTGAAGGACACAGGGAACAGATCGGAGATCATGTACTGTAGGGTAATATCGCCACCTGCAGGAGAAGGACGCTAGGCACAAAAAAACTAAAGACCAATTACAGCCTAGGGGCGGCCCCTGCCGGTGGCCAAACCCCCCACCTACTGAGAAGTCTCCAGTTTTTTGCCTAGCGTCAGGAGTAAGGAGCTAAGAATTTTCCTCGGTATTCTTACCTGCTTCTTCCTGATTTTTTTCAGAGGATTCTTCTTGCAAGTGTTGTCCGGGCGACAGGCTGGATGTCTTGGATCCTTGGAGTCTCCCCTGGATAACCAGCGAGCGTATGCAGACCCGCTACGGTGGGTCGGCTACGACGGCCCCGCTCCGGCGGGGTGGCCTGTGGGTTCGTCCCAGGGGGGTGCATATGACTGGGGGTCTCGGCCGTCCAGTCACAGCACTTCCCTCAGGCTGCTGGCGCCGCGACTGCGGTCGGGGGCGCCAGTTCTCCGCACAGC